CCGCCTTTGTTTTGAATGGGAGCTGCCGTTTATGGATGCAATCCACCAATGGTTGTATTTCTGCGCCCGAGCTCATTAATATTTTGTGATCCCATTTTTTTTACAATAAGACATGCCATAATGAGGAGGGATCATAGAAATATTTCGATAAATCCCGAATTGGTGAATGATAGTTTCCAGTTCGGAGTATTTCTTTCACAAAAGCCCCAAATTGCGGGCCTATTTTGGATAGAGGCGGACGGCTACATTCAGAGCTGAGCGCATAGTTTTGGCGGTATCATTGGGAAAAAGCGAATAAATTATTTTTTTTTCGCCGCTAACCCCGAAAAAAATTGGGACAAAACGTGATCTTCTTGCCATGATCTTGAATTTCCACGGAAAAAAACGGAGTCCAACCTCTTCACGAGAGTCAACAGGCGGCGCTATTTCGGTCTGATTTGGCACTGTTTTCTATGGGCGCGTATTTTGGTGTAGTGCAACCTTGTGTCTATGTGTCTGTTTGATACAGCCTACCGTGAACAGCGCCACCTTGTGTCAGATCATTGCCAACACTTGCCATTTGTATTATTGTCCCTCGCTGTCGAAAAGCAAGCCTATCAGCCTATATTGGGCAACAAAATTTTCACCATAAATTTTGCGTCGTTTTATGTTTAAGATTTATAAGAATCTCACAGTATGATAAATTCTTCGCATCTGCTACAGAATGGCGCATTTTTTCAAACAAATGCTGTAATAACAAAGTATTTGTAAAGCCCTTGTAGCATAAGTTGATCAAAGCGTAGGGTAGCGACAAGTACTGACAGTTGTTAAAAAGACGAGCATAAGTCGATTCAATGAAAAGATGAGTTTTTAGCGATTTCTTGAAACTGGACACCGATGATGAGAGTCGGGTGTGTTGGCAAGCTTGTTTGTAACAAGCAACAGAAAATGGTTTGTTGCCTGAGGTTCTTTAATCTTAGTATGTCTACATGCCGCAATCAGGAATTATCGGTTGACGACCTAAGCCCTGTCCGGCCAGTTCGATATAGGATGAACAAATCTGTCAGGCAAGTAGGAGCAACTCTGTGTGTTGATTTGTACACATGCAGAAGTAATTTGAACAGAATGCAGGATTCAATGGGCAGCCGATGTAGTTGACGAATAAGATGCAACACATTTTGGGAAAGAGATTGAGCACTTTACATCCGAAACTGTGTGCTTTACTTTTGATGAAATCTTTTAAGTTCGAACAATTTATTTCATCCCCCATAATCTCGGATAGATTAAGCTAAAACTAAACGAACAAATTCACGACGAATGCATTGAGATGAACAGCAACAAAGGATGGCACCAAGATGTTTGCTGTATTTCCTGCAGTGGGGTCGCAGTCAGCAACATCAGCCAGGATGACAGACACGTTGTAAGTCATGTTGGGGACGTACTCACACGGGCCGCAGCTGTTCATATCTGGGCAGTAGTCATTGGGCGTGCACCAGCCGTACACGCCTACGTAGTGGTGACCAGGCTGGACGTCGGGGTCGCTGGGACGTAGGTAGACGTTCCGACGGGTCACGGTGGCCAGCTTCCACGA